ATATCTAGACTAACCAATGCATTCGAAGCAGCTTCATTGTCGCAGATATGAGTAGCTAATGGTGGGTTCTCACTTAGAAAGGTAGTATACCTAATGAATACTAGAACAAAGGCAAGCTCTTGGATAAGATCATCTCCATTGTCATCACTCATCAGCTATAGAGATGAAAGGATTCATTAAATGCCAATTTTACGTCTCAACAAGGGGAACCCCAGCGAAAGCGAGAGGTCTAAGCTTATTTAAGAGACAGCAAACTTGAACACGTTGTCTAATTCATTAGTCCACGCAACCAGCAGCAACAGAAACACTACTTGATGATGCACGTTTCGGCAACTCCCGCGCTGGATAGTGAGTTAGAAGTCAAGCTAGAAGTTCCCTTGCTAGGAGGTGATTCTATTCTTGAGCTGATTAGGCCGAGCTAAGAGATCGTTTGGGTGCCGAGCTGAATAATTTGGCAAGAGGTATATTCCTCTAGAGAGGCCTGCAAGGGAGTAATGTCAGAGTGCCTGGGCTTCTTTACCCGGGGTGGGCACTCCAATGCGTTAGCGAATGCGGAGATTTTGTGAGAGCTAAAAGTAAGAGAGCTAGAGAGTTATGTTGTGCATTTACCTTGTGAGGTTGGAGGTGAGACCTTTGTATAGGTGTTATTTGGCATGGGCTTCATGCATCACGTCCGAGATCTCCAGGAGGTCGTGCCTAACCGACCCAAAGTACTCAGAGGTAGTCGTGAACGTAAACCAGTCTTCGTGCCTTGCTCAGTCTCCTTCGAAACATTTGGTACAGGGGCCAACTTCCAAGAGACCCGGGAGTTACGTGTCACGCATGCAAAATTGGTCGGCGAACACATCTCATAGGTCGCCACCTGGACCTCAATCAGGTCAAGAAGCCCTCAAGGGAGGTCGCTTCTCACATTAAGGTCACTTCGGATGGTGACGAGGTGCTACAGGTTGGCCCTGGGCGAGGTGCTAATAGCCGCCCTAAGTTGTGGTCAAAGTCGCCAGGTCGGCGGCAAAGGCAGGCCACCAGGTCAGTGGCAAAGACGAATCGCGATCTAAGATTCCATCACTTTAGCTAGGGCAAGTCATTGCCTAGGTGGTGCGTGAGTGTCATCTAGCTATTTCGAGATGCCATGTGTCATGATGTCACTAGAGGGCCAAATCCGCCCTCATCACTACTCTTAGAAATAAGGAAGATGAAGCCAAAAGATGAGAGATTATGTTGTCTGTATGGCTAACAACCAGAGGTGGGCTCCCTTTCGTCCAAGCTCCCTGGCAACTATGAAGCTTGTAGTTGGGTTCTCACCTAATAAGCGCTAGATTGACAACTTCGCTTCTATAGGTTCTGTTTGTCTGTATGTTTCATTTGGTAGAAATACGATCAATATCAAAGAAACCAACAATTATCAAATACGCTCAGTTTCATTTTGAAAATTTGAAGAATAGTTGATGGCAAAATTGATCACAAAAGGGTAATATTGGGTTTTACAAAAAATGTCACATGTGCACAGATTGTGACGGAACATTAATAGATGCTAACGGCAAGGGTAGATCTAGTCAATTGTCAAAAAACTTAAGGGTACTTTAAGACAATATGCAAACAGTAGGGATATAGTTAGTCAATTTGCTAAACTATAAGGGTAGTTTAAGAAATTTGCCCTTGAAATTAATAATATTTTGAATTTATGTGAAAAATAATTGATAGTTTATGTATTTTTTACATGTTTATTTTGTTGTTTGTTCATGTTATTTTACTTATTTATTGCTTATATATAACAAAAAAAAAATTATATGTGGGTTCTAAACCCAACCCACTCTACCATTGAATATGGGGAGGGTTTTGCATTTCCATGTGCTGGGAGGGTTTGGATTTTAAAAATCCAACCCACTACATGTTTTGGGGCAGGTATAGGTTGAGAGGGTTAGGGAGGTGGGTAGGGTCTAGAATTTACAAAACCCTCCCAAAACCCACCCCGTTGCCATCCCTATTTAATATATTATAAAATTTATTTATTTATATATAAAATACTCTGATTTTTTTTCATGAGAACATAATAAACACAAGGTTCAAAGCATTGGGATACACTAGATATGGTGAAATGATTAGGATTACATGAATACATTAGGAAAACTCATACAAATCCCACAAATGTATTGGTACAACACTAAGGCTCCAATAACCAAAAACAAGGAAGAAACACATTTTATCAAGGAGTATAAACGCGAATAATAAACCAAAGAAAGGAAGAAAAAATAGTGAAAGCACCAAGATTTACATGTGGTTTGGCTCTTGATAGCCTACATCCACGAGAAGAGAGGAAAAATGTCCACTAAGAGATATATGGGTGACTTCTCTAAAGTCTCACAACATAATGTCCATTCTCATTCAACTCTAATCCCACATAACCAATGACTTAAATAAGTAAAAGACCCAATTATATCAGAATTAGACATAAACCCCTGACTTATAAGTCTCTAAAAGTTTATCAACATTACAAATATACCCCCACAACATCCAACAAGACCAACACCCTCCCTAAAAGAAAATCCAAATACAATATATCTCTCAACATCCTCCCTCAAACTTGAGATGTTGAAACCAACTTGAACTTGCAAGTAATCATGTCAAAATAACCTTCATGAAAGTTGATGTATTGTTGAAGCAAAATAAAATAATAACATGATATAAACTCATTTCAAAAAGCTAAGGTGAGGCTGTAAGCCAGTCATGATCCAATAATCACCAAACTAAAGCTAACCAACAGAAAACCAACAAATGTCATGCCAAAAATGAAGTTAACCATTGAAAGGCCAATCACAATCACCAAACTGAAGAACCAATCATGTCACACTATCCAACAGATAACCAACTAGAACACTGAGTAGATTCATTGATATCATGTCACCTAAGGAGATAAGAACTACAAGGATTTCCTCAATAATACTTTAGAACTAATAAGCATAACAAAGGATTGTTACCAAAATGTTTCATCAAACATCTTTTGAGCTAAACAAACCAGATATTGGCTGATGTTACTAGACCCAACATCCACCAAAATAGTCCAAATACTAAATCAAGTCATAAGCAAGAATAGATCAAAACTGATCACAACCACCGAGAACCATTGTAGAGATTCTGTGCCATTGAGACATCTTTCCAAACACCAAATACTCACCTTGAGATTCAATGCCACACACTGGTATAAATAATCATAAATAGATCAGAAGTTGTAGAACTTCTATATCAATTATTTGAAAAAATAAAACTCTCAAGAAAACATCAAACTTAACCAGCCTTTGAGACAATTAATCAAACAACTGATATACAACATAGAAACCAATGTTTGCTTGAAAACATGAACTAGTTAAGATGCTAAGGAGCATAACCCACAAAAAAAGGAAAACAAACATAAATCCTCCTAGAGAGGGAGTCCTAGAGAGCGAACAAAAGAGGAAATCCAAAAAAAGCTTCAACGACATTAAAATAAGCATTGAAAGATGCCCTAATTTACCAACTAGATCAGGTTTCTTTGCATAAATGACCTTTTAATATTTTTTCTCATTAAAAAAAAAAACAACCTAAACTCTATAAGCTCAAGTCCAGATTCCAACAAGTATGAGATAATGGGGGGGGGGGGGGCAATTGGTGTTACGTTTTCCTAATTTTCAACAGAACCAACCAGAAGCAATATCACCCCCTTTAGGTGCCTAGAAAAAATGATAAAATATACTCACAAATATTCCTCGTTAAATGGGAAAAGTTCCTATAAAAGTTTGCTTTGCAGGTTCAAGCATCACAGACCTTGCATGAACAATAACTTCATTGCTAGTCTTCCTTAGTTCTATTGATTTTCATACTAAATTTACTCTAATACCATGTTAACCAGCATAAAAAAAATAGTAAACCAAGAGAAAAATAAGAAGAAAGAGAGAAAGAACTAAGATTTAATGTGGTTTGGCTTGATAGCCTGCATCCATGAGAAGAGAGGGAAAAATATCCACAATAAGAGTAAGAGAAACATAGCTGACCTCTCTACAATCTCATAATAAAATGCCCACTCTCACTCAACCCTAATCCCACATAACCAATGGCTTAAATAAGCAAAAGAGCCAATAACATTAAAAGTACACCCAAGCCCCTCTTCCTCCCATAAACACATTTAAGTCATCAAAAGTTTATCAACATTATAAATATACCCCTATAACTTCCAACAATTTCATCGGGTTATGTGAGGTGTAAACTGCTATGATACACTTAAAAATGTTGGGAAATGAAAGAAGAATTAAGATCTGTATGCGTACCTTAAGAAGCTAAAATAAATTTTATTGATGCTTAAAGAATACTAACTTTAAAGTTCATAAAATTGGGTTAAAATTGAAAACCCATGTTATTTTAATGTAATTTTGTAGTGTGATGTAGTGGCAAGGCTCTTGCTTATCATGTGAGAATGACAGATACAATGGATTTACAAGTAAAAACTGATATTTTACTAGTATTTATTCAACAGAATATTTTGCCCGAGTCCTTTTGTTCTTGGTTTTGAATTTGCCATGAACATTCTTTTATCATATTTGTTAAAAACAATAATGGAAGTGAAATTATTGGCTCTTTTTAGTTGCTGTTTTTTTCTTTCTTATGTTTCTTATTTAGTTTACAGACTTATCATTATTGGGCCATGGGCCTATTTTAGTTTTTTATAGGTCTTTTGTTACTGCCACCTTATTAGGGGCAGTTTTGTAATTTTCCACATATTTCCAGCAGCTATATAAAGGGGTAGGAGGGAGCTCATTATGAGACCCACGATCTGATTTTCTCTTCTTTCTTTCTCTTATTCTTCTCTCTTTGCTATTTTCTTCACCAGATCTTATTTATTCTTTAATTGATTGTTACCTATTGGACAAGAAGATTTAATGCCATGAACATCTTAATTCTTGAGATCAAAAATTATGAGAAAGAAGCCATCTTCATTGTTGGATTTGCTAGTGATATTGGTCATAATGATGAAGATGATGGCCTGAAATAAATAAAAGAATTTAATGAAAATCAATGACCATGAAGAATTACAAGAAAATGACACTATAAGTTCCAAATTCCTGCTAGGTCCCACATAACTAGCATGGTGGGTATTTTCCACATTTAAGTTCGCATTTTGGTGACAATAAAATTGCAATATTTAATAGCAAAAGGTAATAATTTTGCTTCATCATGTCCCATCCTCATTCAAGCATTGAAGCATAAGCTGTGGAATCTTTAGTAGTTTCTCCAGCCATCATATTGTCCTTTTCATATTTTCTTCTCTTGAACTGGTAAAAAATGGAAGTATAGGAAACACCCAATATCCTTGTGAGGCAGCCTGATTTCCATATGTATGATACACAGACAAACTTGTGCTAAACATCAAAATATCATCTAAAGTGTGCCCCAACATAGAATCTTACTCCACAATCTGCTGATGTAGATTCATGACTTCCATTGCATCCAAAAGCTTGTCGAATAGGAATAAGCTCCAAGCCCAGGCTTACTCATGGACATGAGAAGACCTAGTTTGCTGCAAGAATATAGCCAGTATCAGCTCTTAATACATAACCATAGTAAATTAGAAACCAAATCTTAGTTCTTGAAATATGCTTCATAACAGTTAATCTTAGTCCATCCATTATCTGGCAAGTTGGTGAATCTTGTCCAAGTTGATTATTTAAAGAATTCTTTGACTGGAGATCATAGAGGACCAGATTCAAAGAATTTATTAGTCAGAATCTGCTAGGATGTTTCTAAATATAAAATCATTCCATAATGGGATCATTACCCAATGCCGGTGCCTGCTATCCAGGGTCTCAGAAGGGTGGACTGGATATGGACATAAGCTTTGGAATTTTGTGCACATAGTGACTACTGTCATTCTCATACCTGCACTCCCATACTCATCAGCCCAACAAGATTCCATGAGAGATATCAATTCAAAAAATTCCAAATGCATACCAAGATTAAATGCAGGTCAAGCCACAGAAAAAGAAGTCTCATCAGTGATTCCTTGAAACATTTTTCAGTTTGAATAAGTGCATAAATCATATTAAGCAATAAACACAAGCATCATGTGAGAATCAAAACATAAAAATATAGTTGAATTATTCAAAGAAAAAGAAAATTAGTTTGTACCATGAAATTTAAGTATTGAAGTACAGAGAGAATTTAAAACTGAGAGAATTTTGACAGAACTGAAATTACTATGCATGTGTGCATGTGCTTTTGTGTGTGTTTAGAGAGAGTGAGAGTTGGGTACAAGAGAAAAGGCTTGTTTGTTTTCTTTATATTAGACAAATAGGGAGGCATGTATATTTTAGGTGGTATATAGTGGAAAGAAAAGATAGAGGTTCTCTTTATATATATTCTTTCTGTGTGACTCAAGGAAGTAAGGTTTTCACTTTATAGTAATATAAGCAGGAAATCAGTGTTTTTCTCTTGTTTCAGTTAGAGAAATATTGATTTTACTTGTCAAGGGTTCCTATTACAATCAGCTCCAAGACATCCTTGCTTCACCAGATATATAAACTAAAACACACACACACACACACACACAGAGGACAAGAATATTCTAGTCATAGAAATCCTGAAAAAATAATGAATTTAAAGAAATTAAGTGTAACTATAGGAACACCATTAATCTTTACTTGAAAAACAACACAATTTATAAATTAATGAATCATTAGGAATACTGAATCTAAAATAAGTCCCTCAGAAAATAAAAACAATTTATCTCTGTAACTTCTGGGTGGCTAATTCAGAGCTGTTCCAAGATCTCTCAAATGATGATCTTAGCAGAAATATTCAAACCATTCTTTTTCTTCCACACTCCACTCAGACTCCCATAAGACAACCGGTAGTATTCAGGGATGGTGGGATGATCTTACACTTCGACGGGAGTGCTGCAGGTAATCCAGGTTTAGCTGGAATTGGGGGCATCTTAAGAGATGAAAGAGGTGATACTCGCTGGGTTTTCAGTGGGCCAATTGGATTTACAGATTCAACCAAGGATGAAGTGCTGGCTGCTCTAACTGGAATCAGAATAGTAAAAAGTTTGGGTATTCAGAATCTCTCCATAGTAGGGGACTCAGCAAATACCATCAAATGGCTAAAAGATAAGGAAGGGGGTCCTTGGAGGGTGATCCATTGCCTGGCAGAAGCAAGGGACTCCTTGAATTGTCTACATGCAAATCTGATCCCGAGGGAGTTAATTCCTATTGCAGATGGCTTAGCCAAGCTAGGTGCTCGCTTAGAAAATCTGTACAGTGACAGAATTCCTCCCTTGTAATCTCTTTGGGGTTCTCCCCTGTTTTGTACATCCTCTTCTCTTCTAGTTTAATGAAATTTGGTTAAACTTTTCTCATTAAAAAAAAAAAAAAAAAAACAAACAAACAAACAAACAAACAAAAGCAAACTGTTTAAGGATTCAGTACTGGTGCAAATGGTATAGATATATAAATTACACATGAATCTTCTTCTTTTTTTTTTTTGATCAATAACTGGAATTCATTAGATTAAAAGAATTTAGTTACAGCTCTCCAAAGCTTAACTCTCTCCAGGAAGATAACAAAAGAGAAAAAGTTACAAAACAGCCCAAAACATTTGATCCCTTCCCACCCCCTGCTTTTCCAAAGCATCAGCAAATGCATTTGCTGTTCTCTTGACCTACTGAAACTTGATTTCCAATTCTTTAGTTAGCCACTTAATCTCCCTCCTCTCATTAGCATATTTCCAAAGTCCACTACCTTCTTGTAACCAACTTAAGACCAGCTTCGAGTCCCCTCCATGACTAATTTTTGTATATTCAGTTCTTTAGATTTCCTTATACCCTCTAGTACTGCATGGACCTCAGCTTTGAGAGAGTCTCCAAACCCAATGGAACCTGAATACAAAGCGAGCACATTCCCATCCTCATCTCTGAAAACCCCTCCTACACCTAATGGACCTGGATTTCCCTCACTACTTCCATCAAAGTTTAGCTTTATAAGTCCACTTCCTGGTGATGACCACACAGGACAAACTAAAGAGCGAGCAGGAGCAGAATTTGCCACCTCCGGCCACCTATTCAGCAACATATCTGTAGAAATATCAACAAACAGGTCCAAGGATTTCAGCTAATGTACCACCCTCACTGCTACTACTTCAATAAGGCATTCTTTACTTCTTTTAACTTCAGAGAAAATTCTGGTGTTCCTTTCCTCCCAAAGAGTCCAGCAAACAGCAGCCCTCACACACCTCCACATTATCCTTCCCCTTTTGTTTGGCCAACCAAAGAATGAGGGGCTAAACAAGCTATGAATGTTTGGCGGTAGGGTCCACCTGCAATCAAAAGAGGAAAGAAACCATTCCCAAAGATCAGTAGCAAAGGGGCAAGAAACTAATAAGTGGTAGGATCTTTCACCATTAGCCTTGCAAAGAACGCACCAATTCGGAATCTTAACATATAGAGGATCTTAACAAGAACCAGTAAAGCTCATGCGAATGCATATGGTGCAATAAAATTTAACATAATATAAAGAAGCCACAAATTAGAACAACTCATTGATCAGGAAAATTCAATCCACATGCTCCACTTCCCAAGGCTTGCAGGTTCAAATCATATTACTATAAAATCCTCATTCACTTGGAACTTCTTATTAGGTGTATAACCAGCTTTCTTCATTTCCATGTGAAGGTTACTTAGTATAGAATAAATAATTTTAGCTTGAATATGAGATTTATCACCAACTACAAATACATTGACTCTATTATCCACCTCAATCCAACTACACCCAGGTTGTTTCTTCAATCCTTTGTCCTTCATCTTCAATCTCACTCTTGCCGCTTCTCTCCATCTTCCAGCAGAAGCATATATGTTAGATAGCAGTAGATAAGTTCCTGCATTCCCAGGCTCCACCTCTAGAAGCCTCTCTGCTGCTAATTCCCCTATTTTCACATTCCCATAAACACTACAGCCTCCAAGAAGAGCCCCCCATACGCAAGCTGATGGTTTAATCCTTGAACGCTCTACAAAATCAAAGGCCTCCTCAAGCCGACCAGCTCGCCCACAAAGATCAACCAAGCACGCATAGTGGTCTTCTCTCACTTCAACGGATCCATCTGTGACCAACTCACCAAAGTATTTCAACCCCTCATCCACCAAACCGGAGTGGCTACAGGCAGATAGCACCCCAACATACGTAACATCATCAGGTTTGAACCCACACTTCTGCATTTCTTCAAACAAGCAGATTGCCTCTCTTCCATACCCATGGTCTCCATAGGCCTGAATCATTCCATTCCAGGAAACAATATCTCTTTGGCTTGACCTGTCAAACATCTGTCCTGCAATAGTTATCTCCCCACATTTAGAGTACATGCTTATGAGTGCCGATTCCACAAATACATCATTCTGATAGATTGTTTTGCTTATAATCTGATGTATTTGCTTCCCCTCACCAAGACCAGCTAAATCACTACAAGCCCTCAATATGCTCACAAAGGTTCCTTGATTGGGCTTGATCCCATCAGCCTGCATTCTTGAGAAAATCTTCAATGCTTCCTCACTCTGTCCATCCCGGACATATCCTGTGATCATTGTCGTCCAAGAAACAACGTTTCTTTCAGACATCTGATTGAATAGTTTCTGGGCTCTCCTTAGATCTCCATTCTGAATACAACCCGTAATAATTGCATTCCATGATGGTATATCCCTCTCAGGCATTCTCTCAAAGAGGTCAACAGCTTCACTCAGCCTCGAGTTCTGTGCATAACCAGTGAGCATGGCATTCCAAGAAACTACATTCCGCTCGGGCATCTTATCAAAAATGCACCGTGCTTCATCAATCCTCCCATTTTTTGATAAACCATCGACCATGGCTGTCCAGGAAATAACATCTCTTTCTGGCATCCGATCAAAAAGCTGCAATGCTTCATTTATTCTTCCAGATTGAGCCAGAGCTTTCAAAATTGTGTTCCAAGAAACAACATTCCTCTTAGGCATTTTCTCAAATATCTCAATAGCAGAATTCATTCGTCCATTTTCTGCATACCCAGATATCATAGTATTCCAAGAAATAACATTCTTGTGGGGCATCTGTCTAAAAAGCTTCTCTGCTTCCAAAATCTGTTTGGATTGGAAGTACCCATTGAGCAACGCCGTCCAGGTGACTACGTTCTTCTTGGCAGCCACGTGGTCAAACAAAATCCTTGCTTCTTTGATCATTCCACATTTAATGTACCCAGAAATAACATTCGTCCACGTAATAACATCTCGTTCGGGCATTCTGTCGAATAGTCGACGAGCTTCGTAGATTTTCCCTTCCCTGCTGAGCTTGTTGATCAGCCAATTTGATCGAGCTACATTTTGATCGACGGTGTAATCTCTTTCTGATGTCATAATTTTGGAGAATCTCTTGTCGGAGTGATAAAGGTGCAGCCATGTGAGCTTCACGCTGAGTGACCTGGGAACGAGGATTCTAAAAGCCGTTGGAGAGAGCAGTTTAGCGGGAGCATCAAAACGCGCTGATGCAACCGTCAACCGAAGTAGCGCTAACATCTGAACGAGGCTCTTTTTTTCTCCTTCCAAACTTATAGTTAAAAATTAGGGTAAATTACAGATAGGTACTAAAAATTCCATTTTAGTATCCTAACTTTCAAACATGTTTCTGCAATATCTAAATTTTCAAAATGTGTTACCTATCATCTAATTTTCTTATGATTGATATCTGGCCTCAAGTTAATTATGGATTCAGGTATTCACGCCAGTGATGGAAATACAAAAATGAACAAATATTTTTTTTATTTGCAAACCAAACGCCTAGAGAAACTACCATGGCTGCTGATAGAACTCTGTTTGTCAACAAGAAGACAATGAGAAGGGCCGAAGATCTAGGGAGAAGAAGAAGAAGGAGGAGAGAGAGAGAGGTCGGAGGTGGAGGAGAGTTGTTGCCATTGTTCGGTGCTTCAGGAGGCTGTGGACGACGAACCGTGGTTTTCGGTGATTAGCTCGATGGAGGAGAAGGGAAAAGGGAAAGAGAAATGGAGAGGGAGAGAATGGGGGAAAACCGGTAGGATTAATTGATCCGGAAGGAAAGATACTGTTTTGTCACTATTGTTCGGTGTCGAGTGGAAGGGGATAATGAACAAGAGATGGCACTGGCGATGCTAATAGAACTCTATGTGTCATCAAGAAGTGAATAGGGCTGAAGATCTGGGGAGAAGAAGAAGAGAGAGAGAGAGAGTGAAAAATCAGAGCTTCTGTTCGGAGACTCCTAATTCAATTACAATTACAACATAGACTTTCAATCCTAATTGTAATCCATTGAAATCCGAACACCCCCCTCAACTTGGATTATGCAGATTGTGAATGCCCAATTTGCGGAGAAATACTCAAATTCTTTGTAAAAATGTCAGCCAGCTGAACAGTAGTCAACACATAAGCAGGACGTATGCAACCATTTTGAATCTCATCCCGTACAAAATGGCAATCAACTTCAATATGTTTCGTACGCTCATAAAACACTGGGTTTGTGGCAATATGCAAGGCTGCCTGACTGTCACAATATAAACGCATTAGGTTTGAATGCGTAACTCCAAGAGACAATAACAATCTCTTCAGCCATTTCAATTCACATGTGGCCGTGGCCATAGACTGATACTCTGCTTCCGCTGAAGAACGAGCCACAGTGTGTTGTTTCTTAGTTTTCCAGGAAATCGGCGATTTTCCAAGCATAACAAACCACCCAGACAGAGAACATCGGGACAAAGGGCAGTTCACCCAGTCTGAATCACACCATGCATATAACTGCAAGTCACAATCTGAACGCAAGAGAATTCCTTGACCAGGATTTCCTTTCAAATAGTGCACCACTCGCAACGCAGCCTCCCAATGTCTTTCTTGCGGTTGTTGCATGAATTGGGACAGAACATGCACACAATAAGACAACTCTGGACGCGTTGCTGAGAGATAAATAAGCCTCCCCACCAAGCGTCTGTTTTGCTCAGGATTAGATAAGAGGGCCCCGTTTGTCAAGGCGAGATTGTGATTCTGCTCCAGAGGAAAAGGAGCAGGTTTTGCACCAAGTAATCCAACTTCAGAGATAATATCCAAAGCATACTTTTGTTGTGACAGAAAAAATCCTGTTGAGTTTCAAGCAACTTCAATGTCCAAAAAATATTTCAATGATCCCAAGTCTTTCATATGGAAGCAGTCACTCAAATATTTCTTGAAGACTTGAATTGTCATACGATCATTACCTAACACGATAATATTGTCCACATATACGAGAACAAGCACATGCACCCTATCCCTGACGAAAGGTGAAGAGGGAGTAATCTGAACATGATTGCTGAAACCCATATGTCTTCAAGGCTGCAGTTAATTTAGCAAACCAACATTTCAACGCTTGTTACAAGCCGTACAAAGATTTTTTCAACCGACACACCATACATGGTTTATCTGACTGAAAACTCGGAGGCATTCGCATGTAGACTTCCTCATGTAGATCACCATGCAAGAATGCGTTATGTACGTCCATTTGATGAAACTCCCAATTTCTAACTGCTGCGATTGTAAGGAATGTACGGACAGTAACCATTTTTTGCAACTGGGGCAAAAGTTTCATTATAATCAATTCCCTCAACTTGCTTGTTCCCAAAAACCACGAGACGAGCTTTATATCTTTCCACTGTCCCATCAGCGTTATACTTGATTCGATAAACCCATTTGCATCCTATGGCTTGTTTTCCAGATGGCAAAGGCTCCACAGTCCATGTCTGATTATTTTCAAGTGCCAGTATTTCTTTCTGCATAGCATCCCTCCATTTTTCATCCTTTACGGCTTCAGCAAAAGAAGTGGGTTCAACTCCTGTAGTGATAGCTGCCAAGAAAGCACGATGTCGACAAGAAAAACTGTTACAGTTCACAAAGTTATCTATGGGGTAAGGACTACCTGCAGAATGTGATTGGCCGAGTGAGCTTGCAAAGGGACGCGGAGAGGGACTCAAGCGCTGTGTGGTGTGAAGCACATAGTCTCTTAACCTTGTGGGCTGTTGTTTCTGTCGATGCCCATGCCCCAAATGAGTATCAGAGTGCTGCTGTTGCTCAACATTGCCACTCCCCCTGACGTCAGGTGTGTCTTCGCTTGCATTTTCTGTGGTGACGTCAGAAGGATGCATGGGTGCATTGGTATTCGGGTCTACGTGGGTTCCTTCTTCTACACGAACTCCTTCTTCTGCGAGTTCATCTTGCTGGTTAGTCTCCGTCTCGCCATTTGCAAGTCCAGGTGAAGAAGTGGATGGTACCAACACCTTATCTGTCCCACTTATTCCACAATCTTGTGCTTTGTTTGGCCATGCATCCTCTTTGTGTGCATACGGGAATTCATGCTCAAATAAAGTAACATCTCTGGAATCAAAGAGAATGCCAGACTCTAAATCATATAAGCTCCATCCTTTCTTCCCAAAAGGATACCCGACAAAAACACACTGTCTGCTTCGACTAACAAATTTATCCCCTCCATGACAAGGATTGTGCGCATATGCTAAGCAAACCAAAGACTCGCACATTATCATAAGAAGGAGGTCGCCCAAATAATATTTCATAGGGAGTCTTTCCCTTTAACAGAATGGACAGTGTTCGATTGATCAGATAACATGCGGTCAAGACACATTCCCCCCAAAAATCAATAGGCAAGCAAGCTTGAAAGCGCAAGGCACGGGCAACATTGAGTATGTGGCAGTGCTTGCGTTCAACCCTCCCGTTTTGTTGAGAGGTCCCGACACAAGTGGCTTGAGGAATAATGCCACTTTCAGCAAAATAACCAGCCAAGCAGACAAACTCAGTCCCATTGTCAGTACGGATCGCCTTGACAGGTGTGTTAAATTGCCTTTGAACCATTGCAAAAAAAATTCGAAGGACTCGTCCCACTTCCTCCTTATCAATCAGAAGATAAATCCAAACGCCTCTAGAAAAATCGTCCACTATGGTTAAGAAATAATGTGCACCGCAAGAAAATGCAGTTCTATAAGGACCCCACAAATCACAATGAATTAACTCAAAAATAACGGATGCTTTATTATTACTAGGAACAAACTCTTCCCAACATTGTTTAGCTCGGAAGCATACATCACAACCCTTACTACTGTCAGTATGCTTAGTACGAAAATGTAGCAATTTAATAATTCTATAAGAAGGATGCCCCAACCTTTGATGCCAAATATTCAACGTTCTGCTCTCTATAGTCTTCATTTCTCTTGTTGATGCAATACTCCGGAAATAATAGAGTCCCTCTCGCTACTCACCCGCTCCAATCAGCATCCTCGTAGTGCGGTCCTGTATCACACAGAATTTGTTAGTGAACTGGACGATACAATTCGATTCCTCAATTGATTGTGATACAGAGAGTAAATTGCAATTCAAACTAGGCACATATAAAGCACTAGTCAATTTCAGGTCATCGTCCAGTGCAATTGTGCCTTCTTTTTCTGCTATCGTCGCTTTCCCGTCTGGCAGCCCGACAGAGCACGGAATGATATTCTTTATGTCTCTCATCGACTCGAGGTTTCCTGTCATATGATGAGAGGCCCCTATATCTATTATCCATTATGACAATTTTTGCTTACCACTTAGTCGTTCTTTCTGTGTGTTCAAAAGGTTGAGTAACATGTTCCACTGCTCACTGCTCAGTCCATTTAACCCGGTCTTGGCTGCATCGATTGATTCTCCTTGAGACGTATTGCTTTGCGCAGAGGCTTTGGCTGTATTGGCCTTAGCTTGGCTGTCACGGCCTTTTCCTCCTACCCATGTTCGTTGTTTCTGTTCACCACGTCCTCGGCCTGTTCCACGGGTATTATTTTCCGGCCGATCACCCCACCATTCAGGGTAGCCGATCAGTTGGAAACAAGACTCTACATCGTGGCCTGTCTTGTTGCAGTGAGTACATACTGTGTTCTTGTCTCTGCCTTCGCTTTGCCTCTTTCCTGTGTGGGCTACGAAGGCCACAGCTTCAGCTTTCTCTTCCTTTGCGCGCATCATAGTCTGAACTTGCTCTTCTTGAACCACTATGGCATAGGCTCGATTCAAATTTGGCAAGGGTTCCGTACTCAGTATATGCGAACGCACACCTCCATAGACCGTGTCATCTAGCCCCATCAAAAATTGATGAAGTTTCTCTTCATCTCGCTTCTTATTTCACGCCCTGCTTATGTCGCAACTGCACTTGCCACATTGACAAGTGGGATATTGCTCATAATTTCCCAATTCCTCCCATATCATCTTGAGTTTTCCATAGTAATTCAGAATCGTCATACCTCCTTGTTTGCAATTCGCCAACTCGGATTTGAATTGTTGGACTCGTGGTCCATTACCAACAGAAAATTGCTCCTTTATGTCGTCCTAGAGTGTCTTCGCAATCTCTGTGTATGTTACGGTTGAACATAAATTTGGTTCAATCGTATTCAGAATCCATGACACAAGCATGGAATTCACCATCCACCAATCTTCTAATTCCACTGAATCTTCCGAAGGTTGTTTCACTGATCCATCGATGAAGCCAAATTTCTTCTTGGCTCGCAGCGCCGTTCTTATTGCTCGAGCCCATTCATCATAGTTGTCACCTCTAAGCTGGATCTGTGTGATAATGCTCCCTGGATTGTCATTGGTTGATAGAAGATAGGGTGAGATCACGTTCCTTGGACATTGACTGCCGCCCTGATCCTTGTTTTCAGCCATGTCGAGTATAGTGTTGGTGCCGCTGAAGAGAAACTGCCGCAGAACGTTGATTCGCCAGAAGAACTCTGCGAAAAATCATAGTGCCGCACTGATTTGGGCTGTGAAAAAACACAACGTCGGACTGAAAAACACAACTCAAAACGTTGTCGCTGCTGATCACTGGTCCAAAGTGCCACCGCTATTCACCGAATGAAACGATGAACAATGATACTTCATAAACCAGAAGAAGTGCCGTCGCTGTTCACTGAAGGAGACAATGATCACCGAAGTGTTGTCGCTGTTCACCAAAGAAGACGATGAACAGTGATACTTCAGAAACCAGAAGAAACGTTGCTGTTGTTCTCCGAAGGAGACGATGATCACTGAAGTGCCGTTGCTGGTCCGAAAACACAGCGTCGGATTGAAAAAACACAGCGCAGTTGATCACTGGTCTGAAACCAGAAGAAGTGTCGTCGCTGTTCACCGAAGGAGATGACAATCACCGAAGTGCCGCCGCTTGTCCGAAAACACAGCGTCGGACTGAAAACCACAGGGCAGAACGTTGTCGCCGCTGATCGCTGATCTGAAGTCGCCGCTGATCACTGGTTCAAAGTCGAAGGAGACAATGATCACCGAAGTGCCGCCGTTGGTCTGAAAACATAGC